CCTCAGAGCTTCCACACACCCATGACCACGGGCCTCCAGGCAGGGAATGAAGAGAATGACAGGCATGTAGGAAGACGTTCCTGCGAAAGTCATGTGTGAGACTCATCTCATTTGTGAGGGAGGGAGATCCTATTTTTCCTGCTCCCAAAACTGATACCATCTTTCTCTTACCTCTTGATCACCCTTGACCCCCCCCCTCCAGCCCCACACCCATTACCCACCCACTTCCCCCAAAGGTCTAGGATGGGCCCCGGAGTCTAGAAACTCTGCCACCTGGGAAGATGATAAGCCCAATGATCAGAAAAAGCTAGTGTCAATGGAAACCACAGTATGACCAGCCCCCATTCCTAAAAACAGAACTTGCTCCAAGTCGCACAACTGGAGTTGAAGGGACGTCAGGGTCATCCCATTCTTGTGTCCCCAGTGACATCTCCGTACAGACCTTTTTGGCTTCATGCACCCAGAACACCCTCTGACACTCATCCTGCCCACTCCTGCCCTTGCCACTCCTTTCACGGGTCAAACGTCGCCATCTGCTCTTCTGGAAGCCACATTCTTCCCTTTTGCTGACAGGTTATTCTTACCGAGTGTAGCCTGTTCATTCTCCTGACTCTGATGCTGTTTGTGCTCCCAGTTCTTAAGCTCAACATCCACTGCCAACTACAACTTGAGGTATTTAACTACCAGATGCACCATTTATTTCCCCGTCTAGTCTCCCGACTACCATGTTCACAGGTGCACCCCAGGACCTTCATCGTCTCTGGTTCTGTCTCCCAGGATACAATCCCAGGCATCTCCACTCTCCTTAATGCTCACCTCCTTTCTAAGGGTTACCACATACCCACGGGCCACTGGCCGCCAGGCAGAGAATTCAGAGAACTTACAGACATCTAGGAAGGCGTTCCTGGTAAGTCATGTGTGAGGAAACACTCGTGGTCACAGCTCGTTTGTGTCAGTCATGAAACATCTAAAACATTAGTGGTGACCCTGGAATATCACTTCAAATGGACCTCCGCTTTTGTGTATGAACACATCGATGCGATAGAGTCTCAGGAGCCATACTTGGCCTGGGAATCCCTAAAGTGTGGCTTGTGTCTGTCTGAAACCCTCCAACTTGTGGAATATGAACTTACTTTAACGGATTAATGCCAGAATTGTGGCACACCAGAATAGAGTGTCTACTGACTGCCAGTCATTCACCTAGGGATTGTGCTTGTTATTAACTGAGCACAACGCCCTGCTTGCAGCCTGCTAGAGATAATGCTAAGGTATATGCAAACATTAAGAATTCAGCACAGGACAGGCTCCAAAGCTACAGAGAAACCCTGTCTCGGAAAAACTAAAAAAAAAAAAAAAAAAAAAAAAAAGAATTCAGCATAAACATGATCAAAATATATTTTATGAAAAAGGTTTAATATAAAAAAGAAATATAAACAGGTGTATATTTAAAAGTCCAGTGTAAGGATCTCAGCGTAAAGTTCCGATTTTAAGCAAATCTGGACCTCTGACTGAGCTTCAAATTCCTTTCAGCTCAGCTCTTTCAAGCCATGTTGGTCACTGACATTTCCGTGGAAGTGGCCAAAATGAGACTGTCACTTGAAAGTAATTCCCTGCCCACAAAGCAGGCTAAAAACATTGCATGGACTGCCTCTCTTCGAGTCTGTTGTCAGATGCCAGAAGAGAAGAGAAGCCCGAGGCACAGCCCAGGAGAAATACTCCAGGGTCACACCAGAAACCAACAGTCAGCCACGGCAGAGCTGCCTGTGAAACCCTTTCTCCATCTCATCGCATACTACCATAAGGAGCAGTGATTAGAAAGTTTTAGGAAATGCCCTCGTGGACCAGATCCAATCCTCACACCCTTATTAACATTGGACACACAGGACAACTTCAAAGCAGTGTCTGGTGCCACCTGACAGTGATTTTTCAGCCCCGGGAAAGTCCACTGTGACAGTGAAACGTCAGTCTAAGTACTGTATGCATGGTGTCAGGCAGAAGTCCACTGTTTCATGTCTGCTACATGAACTCCAGTGATGCGCTTCACAGAGACACCAACAGGTTGGGTTCTGAGGACTGCTGCTTAGTGTGCTCAAATCCTCAAAGCAGGTTTCTTAATTAGCTTTATAATATTAGAGAGACCCACACTCCAATATGTCCTCACATTCAACCACAGAGCCATTTGAACACGATGCCCTACAGGATGTGACCTCTGGCTTCCTTCTCTCACTCCAGGTCTTCTCATTCCCCCACATATTTGTTCACTCATTCTCATATCCATTCTCTCTCTCCTTCATTCCCATCTCTCTTCCTCTCCCTCTCTTCCTCTCTGTGTCTCTCCCTCTCTCCCTCCCTCCCCGCTCATGTCTCTACTCCCCCCCCCCATCTGTCTCCTTCACCCTCTCTCTCCACGCTAATGTGAAAATGAGGAGGGACAAGCCACATGGATCTAAGGACCTGCGGCCTCTGTTCCCTGTGAAGACCAGACAATACAATTCTAAACCAAGACAAGCATTTCGAAGTTTCAGAATGAGGGCAGACTTCAGACCCGGACTCATTATTCTACTGACAAGATCACCTGCACTTCTGGGATTCCAAAAAAATCAAGGATGCACTAAAAACTGAGATGCCAAGCAAAGGCACGTGGGGAGTGACGTTTCCTCGAAGGTGAAACTGAGTTCCTATTTTAAAGTAAGACTACCAAGAAAACAAGTAGATCATATTTTGTTGTGCTATGCAGGTTTCATTGTGGTTTGAAAATGTATTGAAATGTTCAGAAAAGGCCAAACAATGGCCATGCCCTTGGGAAGAGAAGTTAGCAGTGAAAAACATCTCTTAGGTTTTGCAGTAAGAGGCCCCTATGCACAAACCCATATGTCTTCCTTGAATTGCAGAAATATCAATTTGGAAACAAGTGCTAGGAATTATCCAAGCTGCTCTCACCTTGATGCTGCTCACGCAAGGTAACTGCATCCTGCAAGCTTTTTGGGGAATGGCCCTGAAACAGTCTCCAGGGAAGCTGAGGACCAAAGGTCTGCTAGCTGACTTCTACTGCAGTCCTGGATGCTCACTTGCATGCCCAGCACCTACTCTTCTCCTCGTGTTTATCAAGACATGACACTGGGGGTCGGCAGACAGTGGTCCTCTCATGCAGCTTCCTCTCTCCCCACAGGAGGACACTGCATCCCAGACAAGTGGAAAGACACATTTTCTGCTCTAGCTTATGCCATAGTCAAGAGGATGCTCAATTTCCCAGCATGCGTGATGTTTAGCCTTGTATTGTCAGAGCCATGGATGGGATGGATGGGAAAGGATTCTTTTATGAATGTCTGCATATATATATATACACACAAATGTATATACACGTAACAAAAATTGAAGAAGTAGTCATGAATTGGGGGGGGGCACTGGAGGATCTGGAGAGGGCAAAGGAGGGGTGAGAATGACAGATGAAGTTCTCAAAAGTTTCATTTAACAATAAAAAGGAAAAGAAGGAAGGAAGGAAAGAAGGGAGGGAGGAAGGAAGGAACAAAGGAAGAAAGGAAGGAAGGAAGAAAGGAAGGAAGGAAGGAAGGAAGAAAGGAAGGAAGGAAGGAAGGAGGAAAGGAAGGAAAGAAGACCCCTTGGGCTCTCTGAAGCATGGCTCTCCTGCTTCTTAGCTGCTCCAGGCAAATGTCTTAGCTGAAGTGCCAGTATAGCTCTAGAGCCTTAAAAACTAAACCTCAAGGATATGGAGAGATAAAGCCATAGAGAGTAGGAACAAGGGACCTAGGCTAGCTAAGGGGTCAGAGACCTCAGCAGATATCTTCAAATTTATGCTCTTTTTGCAGCATGTAAAATATGGAGCACAAATCATTTGTCTTTTACCATGATGCATTGCGACACATGCAGCCTGCAGCCATCTGGGAGAGTTTCATCCTCAACATTCTTTACAATCTTATTTTCTCAAATTTTTTAGTTTCAGAATAAATGCAGCAAGTCCAGTTTAGAAGACAGCATTTCTGAGCACAGAGGTTCTGACCGTGGGTGGGAGCTACACAGGAAAGAACTGGGAGAGCGCCGGCTGACAGAGAGTGCTGGTAACGGATGTGATCAATTCTGAAACCTTTCTGACTTCGTCTTGTCAGTTATGGATGGCAGCGATTGTCTTCCATCCAACCCTCATGTTCCAAACCCATCCTAGCACAGCAATCAAAAGCTTCACTTTCTATAACCCACAGAATACGAGTCCCTTCATGATCAAGCAGTATTTGAAAACTTGAGGTTTACACAGGTCTAATTCAATCCGGTTGGCTGGCCAGGAAATAACAACTTTAAAATACAGATCTATTAAAAAAGTAATGCATATATAGAAAACCAGAATCTAATTTTATGTTTTAGCTATTTATTAGTAAGCCCCCAAATTTACCAACAAACATCGAAATGACTTGTCAATTTTAATTCATTACTAAACATCAATAAACATGATAAATTGTAGTAGAAGGAGCGGGCTGCATCCCGCCACCCGGCTAACTTAACCCCTGAAATAACCACATGGAAATTGTATTATAATTAAACCGAATACAGTTTTTGTATGGTTATTTTGGGGGCTAAGCTAGCCAGGCGGCTGGGAGCCGGGCAGCGGGACACAGCCTGTTCCTCTTACTACAATATATTTAATACATCAACCAGCTTTCTACACAGGGGCACCAAAAGGTTTTAACTGAGAAATTAGAGAGAGGTAGGAACAATGGCTCCTTTACTCTAAACCCCTCATGCCCAATTCAATACCCATACACAAACGTTTGTTAGGTAAGAGGATAAAAGGGATGATTATTTTCTAACCACTTCCGAAATCAGCATCAATTTGAACTGTAAAGAACCTATTTTGGATATTCAAATATTTCCACTGATGAATGAAGTACATTCCAGGGCTTTATGCAAATTGGTCGTTTGAAGCTTCCTTCTAGGAGCATCCTAAGCCCCACCCAATAGGAACAAATACCCGCATGTGCATGGCTCACCTGCCATGTCGATGGCAAAAGGCCTGTCTTCTCTCCACCCGGTGTACCAGCCAACAACTTTGCCATTTTTCACCAGTGGTCGTTCATAGCGTCGCCCGCCAACAAGGCCCACAGGCCAGACAGAAACCTTGCGGGTGGTCCTCATCTACGAAGGGGGAAAGATGTGCGTAAGTTTTGTTAATGTGTAGTGATCTACACGGCAGGAATGAAGTTACCATGGCTTCAAAATTTTAAGGTTTCCAAACAGAATCTTCTATCCCCGTTCATTGTCATTTTGGCCCAAGGCTTAAGAGAAATAAACTTGCTGGGTATGGTGGTACATGCCTTTAGTCCCAGCCCTTGGGAGGCAGAGACTGGTGGATCTTGTGAGTTCGAGCCCAGTCAGAGCTACACAGACCCTGTCTCAAAAGAAAAAAAGAAACTATAGATGAAGTACCAGTCCCCAAATATCACTTATTTGAAGTCTACCTGTGATAATTAAATGCTTTCCATTGTCTGAAAATTGAATCTTTTAAGAAATAACCTCCTGTCTTCTAAAATGAGCCACATTATTCCCAGGAAACTTTATGACTCAGTAAGCGATGTCACTCAGACTGGTTTTCTCTAAAAGAGATCCAGGGCAATACAGAGAGACCCTGCCACAAAAAAAAAAAAAAAAAAAAAAAAAAAAAAGTTAAAACCTGCAAGAGAAAAAAAATGCCAGCTCACCTAGAGAGGCAACTTTATCTTGATTTATCTTGATAACAATAGACCTCTTGGCAGAAACCCTAACTACCCCAGAAGCTGTTCAATCCTTGAAAGTAGACATTCCTGACAACTACGATTATTATACCCAGTGAAATTGTCTTTTAAAAGTGATGGGGAAATAAAGACCTTCTAAGACAAGCACAAAATAAAAAATAAATAAAACTAAGATGTCAACACATTGCAGAATAATCTTAGAGAAATTATGCATAGAGGGAATAAGATCTTAATAAGAGCTTGGGGCAGAATAAGTTTCAAAAGAAACAAATACACACCTTGAACAAATTAAATCATTTCAGCAGATCAGAAAAACGTTGTGATGGATAATGGAAAATGAACAAACTATTTAAACCAATTAAAAAGACCACCAATACAAGAATCAGCAAGTTCTGCTCAGTAACAGCCTAATGTAAATACATTTAACTTTTCCTCTTAAAAGATGAAGAGTAGCTGGTTGATTAAAACAAAACAAAACAAAAAACAAAAAAAGCAAGAGGTGACTCATAGGTAATTATGAACTGAAAGCAAAGTATTGGAAAATTATATTCCAGACAAAGGGAAACTGAAAACAAGGCATACTCAGGTCTAATAGAGTAGGCTTGACGGATAAGTTTCTCAGATAAGAGAAAGAAGGTTATAAAGGTTATAAAAGATATAAGTACTATAAATATATGTACCAAATATTGACACATCCAATTTTGCAATACTATTGCACATAACGGGCAGATGAGTCCAGATGTTTATAATAAGTGTCTCCAAATAGGTCATTCAGAAAACAACCAGCTTTGGGGTTAATTGCACCATACATCAAATGGGTCAAATCAGGGACATCTACTGGAAATTCTCTCAGAGTGCCAACCATAGCTTCTTTTCTCATGAGACTTTCTCGAAAAGAGAATGCAGTTTAGGCTATAACACAATCTTAGTGACTTTATCATATCTGTGACAAGAGACAGTGTCAAAAGTGCCATAAGAGAAGAAGGGTTCGCTTGTATTTTGGCTCACAGTTCCAGGCAGTTAGAGGTCATCATGACACAAAGAATAAATGGCATCACCCAGGGAAGGCATGGTGGCAGGAGAAGAAGTGTGTCCCATTTAGGTCACATTCTGTCCACACTTGGAAAATGGGAAATCAGAAAGTAAGGCAGGGTCACGAGACCTCAAGGCAGTTCCTAGTAAGTCACCCCAGGCTCCACTTCTTAAATATTCTAAAATTTTCCCCAAAGTGCCACCAGCTAGGGACCAAGTGTTCACACACATGAGCCTATCAGGGACATTTTACATATAAATTGTGAAAGTCAGTCTTAAATTCACGTGAATTAAACTCATTTCTTTTTTATTATGAGATAGTAATGGACAAGACTAGAAATACAGAGCAAGAGAAACTATAACAATGTGTGGGGTTTGAACAATAAACTCTTGAATGATCATTGAGAAATCAGGGAGGCAATTAAACGTTCTTAGAAGGAAATTAAAATGAAGACACAGCCAATTACAACCTTTGGGGTAAAGCAAAGGGGTTTCTAAGAAGAAAGCTTGCAACTCCGAATGTATACATAACAAACAGCAGCAACACGGACAGATAACTGAATGAGTCACCTGACACTGTAGCGAAACAGGAAGAAACCAAACAGCAAATGAGTAAATGGGAGGAATAATCAATATCAGGGTAGAAGTTAATGGAGCCTGAGAGGACAACATAAAGAATCGATGCAGCAAAGAGTTGGTTCTCTGAAAACATGAATACAAGTGCCAAACTTCGGCCAAGGGAAGATCCAAGTGAGCACAGACTTGAAAGGAAACATTAGCATCGTCACCAATGAAACCTAGAGTATCATTAGGGAACACTTCGAAAAACATATTCCAAAAACACGGAAAAGCTAACAGGAACAGATAAGTTCCTACTCCTATATGATTTATCAAAACTGAATCAAGAGGATGTAAACAGCTCAGGTGGCTATGTAATGAGGTATGGGATTGAGAGAGTAATAGCCTCCCAAGAAAGTCAAGCAATGGTCAGGCCGATTCATTACTCATCCTACCAGATTTTTGACAAGCTCCCACGCCTATTCATGATAACATTCCAGAAGGAAAATAAGGAAAATGCTTTAATGTGGTAAACAAAAACCTTACCACAGCATTATACTAAATGAGGAAAAACTCCAGGTATTTCCTCTAAAATCAGGGCTGAGACACGGGTATCGACCTTCTCCCCTTTAGTCAATACATTGATTATTGCTCTGGTTTTAAACCAGTGAGGTGAAATAGGAAACTAGGAAAGGGAGGACTCAATATTCCTATTTGGAGAAGCCATGTTCTTACACTTAAAAGATACTAAAGGCCTCTCTAGAAACATCTTAGCTTAAGAATTTTAGTTCTTTTAGCTAAGTACCAAGACACAAAATTGTTCTAGTTAGGGTTACTATTGCTGTGATGAAACACCATGACCAAAACAAGTTGGGGAGAGAAGGGTTTATTTGGCTTATATTTTCACATCCCCTCCTAAAGGAAGTCAGGGCAGGAGTCTGGAGTTGAGAGCAGATGCAGAGGCCACAGAGGGCTGCAGATTACCAGTTTGCACCCCATGGCTTGCTCAGCCTGTTTTCTTGTGGAACCCAGGACCATCAGCCCAGAGACAACAAGTTTGGCCCTTCCCCACCAATCACTAAGAAAATGTCCTATAGCAGTGGTTCTCAACCTTTCTAATGTTGTGACTCTTTAAGACAGTTCCTCATGGTGTGGTGACCCCCAACCATAAGATTATTTAATTTCTACTTCATAATGTAAATATCTGTGTTTTCTAATGCTCTTAGGTGACTCCCATGAAAGGGGTCACAACCTTTGGGTCTTGCCTACAGCCCCATCTTACACAGGCATTTTCTTACTGAGGCTCCCTCCTCTCAGATGACTTTAGATTGTATCAAGTTGACATAAAATTATCCAGGCACAACTTGTCCACTTGATTCACAAACACACAGCTGTTATTGTTAGCATCCAGGCACACCTGACCTCGCCCTTGGGGACCTGGCAGACCTTGGCCTGGTCCTACTGCATGACAGGCTATACCCTGGCCTATAATGTGGTCTTGCCCTTCCCTTTAAAATGTGAAACTCCACCTACTCCTTTCTCGTCTTCCTCTTCCTCTCCCTGCATTTCTCTGTCTGTTTTTCTCTCTCTTTCTCCTTCCTTTTCTTTCTCTCTCTTTCTCCTTCCTTTTCTTTCTCTCTCTTTCTCCTTCCTTTTCTTTCTCTCTCTTTCTCCTTCCTTTTCTCTCTCTCTCTCTCTTTCTCTTCCCACAAGGTCTCTCTATGCTCCCTTTCTCTCTCCTCTCTCTCTCCCTCCCCCACCAAAACTCTCCTTGTAAGGGTGTGCTGTCCCCCACCCTCCATGGTTTGGACCCACCCCCCAAGGTCCAATCTCATGCTGGATCATAACAGTTATGCCACAAGCTTTCCTTTCTCAACCATCTTGAGATCTCACATTAAAAACAAAAGTAACTTTAAAAGTCTCACAGTCTTACAAATTCAAAAACTTAAAAAGTTCAATTCCATTATAATATCTAGTCTCTTTAAAAATGCATAGCCTCTTTTAAAAGTTCAAAATCTCTCAACTGTGGTCTTCTGTAAAAAAATCAAAATGAAGTTAAATACCTTCTCACTTGGAGAGGGAGGAGCCAGGGTACAGCCACAATCAGATTAAAGCAAAACCAAACTCCCCAACGTGCAAATAACTCAAAGTTCAATGTCTGGGATTCACTCACGATCTCCTGGGCTCCTCCAAAGGGCTTGGGCCACCCCTCCAACTCTGTCCTCTACAGCACACACAGATTGTCTTTTAGGCTCTGGTCTGTTCCACCTTTCCACTTCTGTTCTTGTTCCATGGTACCAGCATTTCCAGAATGCTGGGGTCTCTGCTGTAACTGGCCTGCACTTTTACCAGTAACCTCTCCTGGGTTCTCTTCAGGGACTCCATCCCTGCCACACAGTGCCAAGCCTCTGCCGCTCCCCAGGACAGCTTCATGCCTTCAAAACCAGTATCACCTGGTGACTCTTCCCCTACCAAGTTTAGCTGTCAGGTACAACCCTGGCCATGTCTGGAACACAGCCTCTGTATACTGACTTTCAGGAAACACTTTCAAAGAGATTTCACCTCAACAGAAATGATCTCTTGTTAAGCAGCACTAATTTTTCAGTTCCATCCAACCAGCATCAAGTACCCCAGCAAAGCAAAGATTTTGCTTCAGTAGTTCTGGGATCCTGTTAATCACAGGTGATTCTTCTGCCCCAGCTAACCAGAACCATGGAATCTTAATTCAAAATAACAAATGACCTCAAAAGAGTCTTTATACTTCCCTCTGAAACTCCACAAGCCAGGCCTTCATCCTCTGCTCTGCTCTGTCCT